TTACAACAATCGCAGCACTGTTGATAAGGGCCCACATCTTGACTTTGTTTGAAAGAGAGGTTTGTTGCATGATCTGTTGATATCTGATTTAGTGATAAACCTCTGGCATAGAATGGGATAATGTCACCAGTCCTGATACGGAATTCCCTTATTGGGAAATCCAAACAATGCACAATAAATGCAGATAAGATGAGGTATTTCATCCAACTGAATGATTTAGTGAGTATTACATCACATATTACCTAAGTGTATTCCTATCGCCACCTTATTTCACTGATATCCCTGCAACCACTGTATTGCTTAACTGTGAATTTTGAATCAGTCTGACTGGTCTGTGACCCGTAAAGATCCGGGGTAGAATAGGTCTTCAGCAACCCATGCTTGCGTAAGAGGCGACTATGCTTGTCGTAAGAGGCGACTAACGGGATTGGGAGGCCAGGCTCGCTGACTTGGTTGATGAATGTCATTGTATCCCTATTACATGGATTGATGCTCATGATATCAATTACTGGATTGTCTGGTCCAGACTCGATTTAATTACAGACCGCCGTCATATAGCTGGAATATTGGAGTGTGGCGTTATGCAACAAACCAACCAACCAACCAACCTTGCATGCAATTAAACATAACCTTGCAGATGAACTTAGACTTTCTGAGAACATATGTAAATATATAATGTCAACGCCAGAGAATAACTTTGATTATCTGTAGAAACAGACTCCATTGGGTGAAAAGGCAAAATAGCAGCGAAAATTATATGAATGGGTCACTGAAAATGAGTGATGACACCAGGTATTCACGAAATGGGCAAGCATATCCTGCCCTATCAGTAGCGTAAGCATTTCTTATGGAAAGTTTAGTTTAGGGTGAAAAAGTTGAACTGGACATGACCTGGGTGACCATGGGCAGATGTACTCTCAGACATTTCTTGTACTTTAGGATGTAAGGTGCTGTTGGGTCTAGCCCACTCTAGGATGTCCGCTGGTCTGTAATGAGGGTGTTTAACTTTTTTTTATGTTAGATTTTCCTGAACTCTTTGTTATGTATTGTAACTGTCTAAATGTCTGAACAAGGGGTTGGTGTTACTTGTTAGTTGCTGCTCCAGAGTTGACTGAAGAGGTATTTAGGTTTGCATTTTAGTATAGTTAATGGTCTGTAACTTTTTAACATATTGATAAAACATTAGTTTGTTAAAAAATCTAAAACATGTTACTGTGCAGTGATAAGATTGATAAATATGTGCGCATTTACATATTTCCATCAACTGTACAGCAATATTCCGTTGATGATGTCATACAGTGCTATTAGGATTAGCTTGGTAGTATTGTGGCAATAGTGGTTTCAGGGTATTTTGTGAGAAAGGTGGATGTAGACATGTCGGTATTAATGACCCTTGCAGTACTGGTGATATGTGTTTCTGATTATGTAACAGAGTGTATGTTCTTTGAAAGCCGATATGTCTCAAGCCGGGGTACCCATCCTGTGGTACCCAACCAGTGGTACCCTTCCTCCGTACCCATCCTCTGGTACCAAACCTCTGGTACAGCAATGGTCATGGGAGCAAAACATGCACATATTGGTTTGCTTTGGTTTCAATTGTTAAGCTGTGAATGACACTAATGATAGTTTTATACAAGAATCATCTCTCTGATGCCATTAGGGGCGGTCGGGTAGCCTAGTGGTTAAAGCGTTCGTTCGTCACGCCGAAAACCCTGGTTCGATTCCCGACATAGGTACAATGTGTGAAGCCCATTTCTGGCATCCCCCGCCGTGATATTGCTGGAATATTGCTAAACGCGGCGTAAAACCATACTCACTCACTCTGATGCCATTATGCACTGGGCAGTTGGGTAGCCCAGTGGTTAAAGCCTTTGCTTGTCACGCCGAAAACCCGGGTTCAATTCCCCACATGGGTTCTATGTATTGCCCTATATCTTGTGTCCCCGCCGTGATATAGCTGGAATATTGCTAAAAGCGGTGTAAAGCCATACTCATTCACACCCATCATAGACGGTATAGAAGCTGCATGTCAGAAGACTGCTCAATGACCGACCCACCCAGAGGTGATTGTGTTCGGTGGTAGGGTACCCAGCCAGGCCTTCTTGTTGATTCCACATCAGTGTGCTTGTCTAATGTTCCTTTTCATTGTTTTCTTGTAATCCTTTTTTATGAAACAACTTTTTTGTACATGAAATTTATGTTCATTAAAGAAGCCATTTTTGTTACAAATTATGTTACATCTGTTTTTATTGTTTTGAAAGTTCTTACAATAGTACCTCATAGATTCAATGTCCCGTTGCACTCACTGAATCATATTGAATGAGATGACGGTATCTCTGCGTCAGAAAGGGCATTTTCAGTGGAACGAGGAAGTACGTTTTGGTCATCCAGTTCATCTGAACACAACTGATTCCTTGTATACCACTCGAAAGCAGTTAGAGAACGCAGATTTACTATAGTAATATGAAAGAATCATGCATTCTTAAATTTCTTTTGAGTAGTATATTTGCCGTTCTCAAGTTATCATGGGTTTGTCAGTAGGGCTGGGACGGGTAACTCGGGTACCCTGGTCGGGTGGTTCATGAGTAGGACCTGGGTACCCACAGGACTACCCGGACCTGTGGTTAGTCACGTGATATATATTGTTCGATGACAAAAATTATCTAAAACTCTATGGTTACACTATAAGTCACTGATATCCCATTTCTTTCTGACAATGCACCCATTCCTTCTGACTTTTATATGCTTGAATAAAGATAAAACTTCATGCATTAAACTTCAGTGTATGCATGAGCGGATCATCTTACACGTGTATCTAAATACATTTTGCCAGGGCTATGGTCAAACTTTTCCAAATTGGACAGTTTGTACCTATCTCTAAATATCTACAGCGAGTACCCGGGTAGGGTTGGGTAATAGGGTGGTGGGTACCCGGGTAGTCAATGTGGACCCGTACCAGCCCTACTTGTCAGTACCATGCCTGTGTTCATGGATTTCATCTCTGTTCTATGTGTCTTTGACCTGGCTGATTTTCTCCCACATCATGAGCAGTGGGGGGTGGCCTAGTGGTTGAAGCTTTAGCCCATCATACCGAAGACCCAGGTTTGATTCTCCACATGGGTATAATGTGTCAAGCTCATTTTTGTGTTCCATGGGGGTAATATTCCTGGAATAATGCTGAAACCATACACTCCTGCCATATCTGTAATGCTATGAAATCTCTGAAATACTGTTCATCTGTTTATACAGCCTGTATCCCCAGGCCTCTCTGTGGTCACAATAGTGTGGGGTGGTCAGGTAGCCCAGTGGTTAAAGCGTTCGCTTGTCATGCCGAAGACCCGGGTTCGATTCCCGACATGGGTACAATGTGTGAAGCCCATTTCTGGCATCCCCCGCCGGAATATATTGCTGGAATATTGCTAAAAGCGGCGTAAAATCAAACTCACTGTATGGAGAGAACTACATGTATATTGCCAATACATGCCATTGTGTTTAATCTAAGAGAGTGGAGGCCCTTAATAAGAACATACTATATTGTCAGACCAAAATACACATCTGGTTCCTGACTAAATTGAATAAGCTATAACTAGGATCTATTGATAAAAAAGTATCTAAGCAGCAACCATTGATACTTTTGATACTAATTATGAAATGTAAGTGAAACAAATGGATTGTTCCTCAGTAACTTACTGTATAGTAGGGAGTCTTTTATTCAATGTTTGGGGCGGTCGGGTAGCCTAGTGGTTTTACCTCTACGAAATTGATGATTATACAGTTTGTGTATGAAGATATGTATATTTTGTTTTAAACAAGACTGGATGCTGTGTTAAATGTGGCTCTCGTCGTCTCTTGTCTCTTGTTATGTTTCTAAGTTTGTGAGCACAAACAATGTACCGGTACTCGTGGGTTTCACCAAAGTGGTAAATCTCTGAGACCTGCATCACTTCTTCCATTCCTCCCCCATAAGCGACCCGTGAAGGTCCGGTGTAGAATAGGTCTTCGGCAACCCATGCTTGCCGTAAAAGGTGACTATGCTTGTCGTAAAAGGCGACTAACGGGATCGGGTGGTCAGGTTCGCTGACTTGGTTGATGTATGTCATTGATCCCAATTGTGTGGATTTGATGTTCATGATGTCAGTCACTGGATTGTCTGATCCAGACTTGATTATTTACAGACCGCCGTCATATAGCTGGAATATTGCTGAGTGTGGCGTAAATCAACAAACCAACCAACCAACCCACATTAAGCTGACATGACATCATATTACTGGAATACTGTTCAAAGCAGTGTTAAACTCTATCACTCACTCACTCACTCACTCACTCACTCTTCAAAACATAACCCAAGAACACCAGATGGGTTAGTAAGAAATCATAGGTGGTTAAACGCTGTATTTGTTCACGTACAAGATTGTGAGATAACAGATTGGTATGTCATAGATATGTCATGGTTCAAAGGTTGCTGGGTAGTAATATTCCTTGTGAAACTTAGGAAAGTGTCCTCTCCATGGAAATAAGTCTCTATATGTAACTCAACAAATGTCTTTGTCACCAGTTTTAAAAACAGGTAAGTACTTGTTAAGAATTCATGGAAGGGCTGTGATTTATTTTGATATTGATGTGTTTAGAATAGACATCTACATCTTGAAACTGATACATTGGGGGCGGTGGTGTAGCCAGAGGTTAAAAGCATTTGCTCGTAACGACGAAGACCCGGGTTCAATTCCTGACATGGGTACAATGTGTGAAGCCCATTTCTGGTGTCACCTGCCATGATATTGCTGGAATATTGCTAAAAGTGGTGTAAAACCATACTCATTCACTGATACATTGTATTTCAATATTTTCCTTTCAATAGCTTTGAAGATATTCCACGCCCAAAATTTGAACAGAACTGGTCTCAATTAAGTTAATTTACATAGGTTTCAGTTTGTCAGGAGATGGAATATTTCTTTATTTCTGTAATCTGATGATCTAAATTATGTCTGTTTCATTTTCAGAAAAGTCGTAAAGATGTCAGCAACTTTGATCGTGAATTTACATCCGAACCACCTAAATTGACGCCAACAGACAAGTTGTTTATCATGAACCTGGACCAGACTGAGTTCCAGGGCTTCTCATACGTCAACCCCGAGTTTGTGGTCAATGTGTAACTCTCCAGCACAAGAAACAGAAATATAGCTCTCTTCAACGACCATATTGGAAAGAAAAACAAGATGGCTGCCATGGGTTTTGACTATTGAGAATGCTATGCCACGGTTCCCATTGTGGCTGTTCTTGCCGCCAATCACTAGTGGCTGGCACTTCTGGGAAGATGATTGGCAGATGTGAAATGAGTGTGACCTGATGCTGGCAAGTTGTGATTTCACTAAAACAGTTGTCAACTGTGGCTCATTGGATACCATCGCGTGACGAGTCATACTACGATAAAGGGACTATGTAGGATTGTTTATCATTGATAAGTTGCATACAGTGTACAATTATTTCAATCTGTTTAAGTATGACCTTTTGTGTATTCACTGGTGGCAAAACCTTTCTAGTGTTTTGACTGATTTACTTTCTGTGTATAGGTGCACATCCTTGAGTCTACTTGATAGATGTTTGGTTTACAGTTATCTTGTACAGACAGTATATAAGTCACATGCAAATTAGTCAGTATATGACTTTGATATTTCAAGGTTTAAGTATTTTTGATTTATATGTTTTCCATGTATTTCAGCCAAGTAACAAAAAACGTTCTTAACAAAATGTGTAACATATGTGATAACATGCACAAGAAATCTTGCCAAAATATATGTCGACATCAGATCATGTATGTTCCATTACTACTGATTAAGGTAAGCTGTACACTAGCTGTCGATAACATAAGTGTATCATGTGATTGATCGGCAATAAAGGTAGGACAGCCGATGTATATTTAATCATTAAATAGGATGTCAATTTTATCACACCACACAAATATTAAAATTTGCAGGTAATCATTAAAGTTGCACCAAGTTACAAGGAGTATTGTTCAGATATCGGAGTCTACATGGTTCGAGAGTAGTCTAATCAATAACGTTAAACAAAAGGGACAGAAAAATTATCATCATCATAGGATAAAAGCAGAGCCCATTGTATGTTACATTGTTGGGCCTATAGGCTGTATATGGAACTTCATAATTATCATGTCTCCTTTTTCAAGTCAAGAGTGTAAGTAGACTATTTGCATTATACAGAATAGCTCTATGGACTTTTGAATCCCATTGGGTTCAGAAAGTGAGGAATGAAAAAGAGATTATGTGCAGAGGTTAAATAGTATTTCTATTATGTGTGAAAGATTGTAAGGTTACCTGGGAAGGTCCATAAGTATTCCAGTTGATAGGAAACAAAAGGCTTCAGCATCAGTTTGGGACAACCCAGTTGGTGCAGCAGGAGCTGGTCACCTGATCACCTGATCATCTGGTCACCTGGTCATCTGGTCACCTGATCATCTGGTCGCCTGATCATCTGGTCACCTGATCATTTGGTCACCTGATCACCTGGTCATCCGGTCACCTGATCATCTGGTCATCATCTGGTCACCAGGTCACCTGTTCACCTGTTCACCAGATCACCTGGTCACCTGATCATCTAGTCACCCGGTCACCTGATCATCTGGTCACCCGGTCACCTGGTCACCTGATCATCTGGTCACCTGATCACCTGGTCATCCGGTCACCTGATCATCTGGTCATCATCCGGTCACCTGATCATCTGGTCACCCGGTCACCTGATCATCTGGTCACCCGGTCACCTGATCATCTGATCACCAGGTCATCTGATCATCTGGTCGCCTGATCATCTGGTCACCTGATCATCTGGTCACCCGGTCACCTGATCATCTGGTCACCCGGTCACCTGGTCACCTGATCATCTGATCACCTGGTCACCTGATCATCTGATGCTGCTTCTGCATGGCCCATCTGCTGCATGCCTGAGGGAGACGATCACTTGTGTTTTATTGACAAAGTACTGATTTACTCAGTTGACCATATGTTGCAGAGTGAGGCACTTTCATATTTACTGACTTACTGATTTGGCCAGTTATATTTTTATCATTGGGATTGAGTTTGGCAATTTTATATTTACCATTGGGATTGAGCTAGGCAGTTAAATATTTACCATGGGGATTGAGTTAGGCAGTTTTATATTTACCATGGGGATTGAGTTAGGCAGTTTTATATTTACCATGGGGATTGAGTTAGGCAGTTTTATATTTACCATGGGGATTGAGTTAGGCAGTTTTATATTTATAAGGGATCTTGGCTAGGCAGTTTAATATATACAACTTGCTTTCTTCTTAGTCTGTTCATTCAAGGATATTGAAAACATCCTACATGTCGGTTTGTTATATACTTCATCAGTATTATGATTACAAGATCTGTCAACAGATAAATAATATCCTATGATGATCAATTTGCTTGTTGACTTGTATTACTGATATCTTGTGCATGATAATTGCTGGTCCCTGTTTTCTATTTCAGTGACATTCATAGGCATGCCTTGTAGATTTCATTGTCATTATCGCTCCGTGTCATATATTTGACATGAAATCAGTGCATGAGAATCTTAATTATTATTGTGTAGTTTGAAGTGATTTGAGATGTTTATCCTGTTTTAAAGATGGTTTTCACTCTGGACCAGTCACTTGTCTCAATTAGTCACATATATCGTTATTCACAACTGTAATCGACCAAATGTGAGTCAACCACATGCATGCTTTTGTAGGGGGATTGAGGAAATCAGATCAGCTGTTTGTATTATAACAGATTGATTTATTTGAAATGTCATAATCATATCCTATTTTAAGACGTTCATGTATTAATCTAAGGTAGAACTGATTTGCCAGTTTTGTTTGGGTAAACTTTGCACTAGCAGTAGTTAAATTTGGTAAATACCAAGTATTTCTTTTAACAGCAGGATTCAAACATGTGTCATATTGACAAGTTACTTAGTATCAGCACTTTAACCAACTCGTACCAATGTATGACACACGACTGTGATGGAAGTAGGGAACAAACCCCTGAGTAAGATTGTTGAACACTTACAGGAATGTCGATCTCCGTAACCATTCTTCATTACTAGAGTTGTATTTTGATATGAGTTGTGTTGAGTTTAATTATGCTTTGAAGTGTTGGCACTGCTAGAGATACATGTAGAATAGTTTCACATGTCGGAGAGACAAGTAGTCTCGTGTATTTCCTTGCCTCACACTTAACTCATATAAGGCTAAAAAAATAATAGTCTTGGTTCTCAGGCTCCGCATGTATCATCATTAAGTCAGCCGTATGTTTCGTTTTTATTTCCAATTTCAAAAAAAATAAATAATATGTTTTAATATTTCGCATCTCGAACACGCGACCCTGGCAGTGAAATTCTACAATACTTAAGAACAACATGATTTTACTGAAATTATTGTAAACGAACTTTGGTTTTTATACTTGCTTGAAAAAAACAAAAAAAACACCATCGCCCACCCGCCCGCATTATTTAAAGCCATTGCCTGAAAACCAATTCTTTTATTTATTTGAAGCCTAAGGTGTTATTGAATCAACCGTTGCATTCAATTGAAGAATACAAGACATGTGTGACACATTGTGGTCAGTATTCTGTATCAAGTTTGAAATTTACAAAGCAAATGTGATTTCCTGTTGAATATGAACAATGTGTTTGTCGTAATATATTCTGAATTCAAGTTGAAATGAACAAGGAAAATTGGACTTCTGAACGATTGCATCAAAGAGCTTGTGATATTATTGAGGATTGATTACAAGCAACTCAATATTGATTTCAGTCTAGATAATATATATTGTTATTCCCAATTAATGAGGAGTAGCAATGCCACTCGGTCATGTCATGTGACAGTAGTGTTTCACTTGTGACTCATTTCAAAAGGTGTCTATCTACAGCGCTTTATGACATTTCAGTGACACATTTGTTATGGAATTAAGTAAAGCATATTACAATTTTTTGTTCAGTTTATATTTTGTGCAATTTTGTTTATATTTACCTATGTTTTGTAGAGTATATTACATTATTGTGAGGTTGAATTCTCAAAATAGTTTGTTTATTTTAACAAAATCAAATATTTCTGTTCAGGGACAACATTGTTGCTTGTTTGCTTAATCAAAAATATCTTAATTTAGCTTTGCTACAAGCGTAAGTATTTCCCAGTTCAAAGATACAAAATTAACGTGAAGGGGTATGCATGTTTTATGAATCATACTGACATTTGGATATTTATGACTCACAATTTTATGATGTGAATAATCATGGAGAATAATCTCCAACTGAATAGTGTTTATGAGTGTTTATTATTGTTTATTATTGTTTATGGTATTTGTCTTTTCCCTATGCTAAGTTTGTTATTTTCATTTATAACATATCCCAAGGTGCATACAGTAATATTTTGTTACTTTACAATTACACGAATTTACTTGACAAAACTGAATAAGATCTTATGATTGTTTTCAATCAGAGATTTTACCAACTGTTAACATGTTGCCTATGGTATTGATGCGATGTACGTACTGTAGCTTATAGAAGTGGTAGTGCTTCAAATTTTAAGCGTTTTTCTGTTATTTTGTCTTTGGTATGGGCATAAATCATATAGGTAGTTCAATTACTTCATAAAAATACCCACACTTTCAATGGAGATTCAATAATGCCTAATTTGTTTGTATAATTATGCAGTTTTCAAAGACCAAATATTTCCAAGCCCCCCATGAGGTTGTGATTAGACACAGGCAGGTGTGGTAAGTTACTCAACCTGTGTTCACATTTAGCCTTGGTGTTTTTTAATTATGTGTATGGTACTTGTGACGATCAGGGTTGATCTGTGTTACTATGGAGAACTGGCTTGTCAAACTCCTCTACTTAAAATACCATCAGATTGATGTGCTTCATGTGCACGCATTCAGAATTTCTCTCATATGTGTTAATTCGCTCAAAGTTATGTTGTAAGAAATGTTTGGCAGTTTTGCCCAGTCTCCAAGCAGAGACAGGGGTAATTGCGTGATACACCTTTAACAGTTTCGACTCTTGAATATTTTTCAAACTTGACACAGGTTGTCAATTTATGTTGAACAACCTTGAAATTTATCACAAATAATTCTGCCTCTGTACATGATATTCAACTGCATAATCACATGACTAATTTTTATTGTAAAATTTCTTATTATGTTAAAGTTTCACTCAAAGCATGTTATGATTGTTAACTTGTTGATTTTTTGTTAAATTTTTCACCCTTAATCGCTCAAGCATTCTTCCATTCCACAACCAACCAGAGAAATAATCACTGGTCCACCTTAATCTCTCAAAGGTGCAAGATCAGAAATGCATTTTTTCTTAGACTGTTTATTGCAATTTCTGACAGAGAGTACGTCACACTCAGTTACAGGTATTTTAGTGACTGCCAAATATGTTCAATTTAATGCTCAAAGCATTCCTCAATCATTGCCTTAGCTCAGAGTAGTGATATTTGGTGACTCTTTTCTCCATTTCAAATAGGGTGGTCGGATAGCCTAGTGGTTAAAGCATTCACTCGTCACGCCGAAGACCTGGGTTCGATTCCCGACATAGGTACAATGTGTGAAGCCCATTTCTGGTGTCCCACGCCGTGATATTGGAAGATTGCTAAAAGCGGCGTAAAACCATAATCACTCACTCACTCACTCACTCACTCACTCACTCACTACATTTCAAATAAAGCTTAAAAAATGCAAACACTTCTAACTCTGTACCTTTAAGTATTGTCAAATGTAAAACATAGATTCAAACTCTCTGTACTCTGTACATTGTCTTGTCAATATAGCCAAGGCTTGAGTGAGTCATAATCAATTGATTTATGTTATTGATCATCTCTACTTGTTCAATGACTGGTTGTGTTACGTTACAGATGTTTATTTGTAGCTCCCAGTCCTCACTGCCAAGTCTACTTTTACATACATAACCAAGAAGTCGGTTTTAGTTGCTCTATATACAGATCAAGTTCATAATGGCGTGTATATTTTGCTTCTCGTCAGGTGCCCAGCAGCACTTGTTGATGTATTTTTTAAATAACATTTGATTTTAGAATGGATCTTTAAGGAAATGGAAACCTCTAGAAAATTATATACTACTCAAAAGAAGTTAAGGAACTCCCAATTATTTCCTGTTACTGTAGTTTATCTGTCATGGCATGAAAGAATCAGGTGTCCTTTTACTTTTTTTGAGTGGTATATTTGATTTGTGGGAAGTAAGACAGCAAGGTTTGCTCAGTATGAGGTGTTGTTCTTGTGTGTAATCTCATTTTGGTCTTTGCTCTAATGACATTTCTAAATCTCCCAAATCTGATGTCGTATATTTCAAAATTTGATGAATTTCTGAAATCATCCACATGCAATTTTTCTGTTTCTTTCTCGATGTTCAATACACATTAATCAAAGAAGATTGTAAATTCATTAAGAAAAATCATCAAAGATTCAATGAATTCTTAAGTGTTTTCTTTTTTGGAGTATTTGATTTCCTTGTGACATTTTGAATTTTTCTGGTTCAGAAGTATTTACACTATGTTGGGATTGGGATGCGCTTTTTGTTTGTTCGTTCATGGAAGTGGGTTAGTGGTTATGAGTGTCAGTTTCCTGATATATGCCTGTCTGTGTGTACAAGGAAGTGTTGATTTCTGATGTATAGACATGCTCTGTCATGCCATCAGCTGTTGATGACCTTGAACACAATATCTCCCATCTCGGCTCGACCCCTCGCTATGCAGCATTCGACTCCATCTTGGCAGAGATGTGATCCAGATTGACATGATTGACAGATATGATTGACACATGTAACTGACCATGATGTAGGTGAATGACAAGATGACATTGACAACATCAGTGACAGGCTGACAGGCTGACAGGAGGATAGTGCTGTGAAGATGTCATGTAAATTTGTTTTAGGTATAAATTTTTACACTGAAAATGAAAACAGAAAAACAATAATAAAAAAATATGTATAAAATAAAAGCAGAAACTATGATTTACTACCAAATGAGAAATTGTTTTTTTCTGAAATGCACCGGAATACCACATAGTGCTGTGGTTCAAGGGATGTTGATTTCACATGTTCATCGACACAGCAGTATAGGTCTCTGTTACTGTATGTTGCTATGGTTACCTGAGGTACTGGATAGGACATTTTCTGCATTGGCAGTGGTAATCAGGTCTCACCTGTCGACACCACCTAACCACTGCCACGAGTGATGGCAGAATCTGGTCTGATGGGTAGTAACTTGATACTTAAGTGGAATTTAGTAACGAATTGAAGCTCTTCCGACTGGAGAGAATGACATTTAGGATGAGGTAGAGATGAAGAAATGATGAAGAGTGTGATGCTGCGGCTGCAGTAAGGTGAAGGTTATGATGAAGGAAGGAAACGTTTGGCAAAGATCTACTGCTGCTGTAGTAGGGAGCTGAATAAGCTGGAAGGAGGAGGATGCCATGTACACACGTTGTCATGGTTACTGTCCTCAACAGCTGACATGTTGCGATCTGATGCTGCTTAAAACTGCAATTATATCATGGACAAAGTCATGGACAGAAACTAGATATATACTGAACCGCAAAAGGAACATTACTTCATGAAAAAACTTCATTAAAGTTACCCAAGGAGGTTTCTAATTTTTTGCGTTAGTTTGTATCCACATTTCATGTCAACAGATGAGAAGTGACACAAAGATGGATATAATGGGTATCATGATAATCAAAATTCACTTGTGTTTCCTTGTGCCTTTTCTGATAATCGACACCCCAATACGTGCATCGAACATTCTTGCATCGATACCAGCGCCATGCCAAGACTTGTGATACTGACTTACGTAAAAAATGGGATACCTCCAAAAAATGCATTGATATTTCAATGGGAAACTTTCATGAATTATTTTCATGAAGTGATGTTTCTTTTGAAGTTCAGTATATTATGAAATGCAACACCCTGGTCCCTTTAGAGATTTTGAAGTTTTTGGATTTTAATTTGTTTCAGATAATTTGTTTGGCTTAATATAATGTATATTTCCATCAATTTCATGTGATAATTTGAAATATGAAGTTGGATATGGATTTATGACCAGGACTGATATATTGCCAGCACCTTATTGACGACAGTGCTTACAGCAATATTATGATCGTGACAGAAACAGCTGTGTGTTTGTGTTTGTTTCGTACAAGAGTAACAGATGGACGTTTACGCCAGATTGTTGTCGGATCTCATAGTGGAGCTGGGCTGAGGACATATTGCATTCAGGTCAGCTGTAGTTGGAGATGACTGACATGAAATATACATGATATTGATTCATGTGGGTCGGGCAGATACAGATTGATCCAACACTGCAGTACTGGCTCGGGTTGCAATGTACACCCGTGAATGATGGACCTTGGAATGATCACAGTGCACATGGGCATGCATGACTGTAGGGCTGAAGGGGGTTCACACAATGGGCAGTTTAATAGAGGCATTGTCTGCCAAAAATCAAACAAATTCAGCTTTTTTTTCAGTATTTTGGCAAAGGAAAAAATAGCACATATCATCAAATTACATTTTCATCATTTCAATACATGAATAAAAATATGCCTATTTCTGAAAAATGTTTTGGTAGGATATGAAATTTCTTTCAATGAACAGTAAGGGAAAAGGCAAGAAGCATTAAGTTTGTGAAGTGATGAATACTTTTCACACAGCCCTGTGTTGATGTGGTATGTGATGGAAACTGGCGTTGGGATTATACAGCTTAAGCTGACACTGGGAGGAGTCTTTGAAATTCATGCTGTTCGGCTAGCCCGAGACTACTAAATTGTGCTGAGGTCAAGTTAGAATCCAGTGATGGTAGTCCTCACTGACTAGTAGCATTTGAGGGCTGTAATTCTGAACCAGTTCTCAATGTTTCAGTTTAGCTTCATATCGAAGGGAATAAAACTGACAGGAAATTTAGATGTTGTAAACATTTCTATCTCGGCTACAACAAACTCAGAGAACTGGTGTATAAAGGCTTCAACTCATCCTCTAGGCTAGTCTCTACAAAAATGAATTTCTAAGGCTGGGGGAGATATTATAACCATGCAACATTTAAAAAAACAAACATGCATAATGAAAGTTATTACTAAAAATCTGTTTTATTTATGGGTTTTTTCATATCACTATTTTACTAAAACCATTTGCATAATTTATTTTCTAATGTAATCTTGTCAGCTAGGTAACTATAGAATGGCATGGCTAAAGAATAGACCACTTTGATGATTGACAGATGATGAACGGATGATTGACAAGTGGAACATGATCATGAACTATTTGTGCCCATGACGTCTTCATGAATACTTGCATATAATCTGTATGACACCTTCAACATACAATGAAAGACTGTGTTCACCAAAACTGTCATCACAGTTATTAAATTTACATAAACTTTTCAAAATTATTATCATATACCTTCAAAATCATTGTTTATCAAATATGAATATAACAACATAATATATACTTGTATATAAATGTCCTTATTTCATGAAATTGTGATGTGAGAACCTATTGTGGCATTTTGTTCAGAAAGTCTTTTCTTTCTTTCTTTTTATCCTTTCCTTCTAACCATAGTGGCACCACAGATCCAATTCAGTGCACTCTTCCTTGTATATATGAACATTGTGAATCTCTGTGGAACAATGTGGCGAGGACCACCACCAATATGGATCCAGCCTTCTGTGCTCCTGGTTCAGAGGGACAATGTAGTGTTTTAGTGTCTTATATGCATCATATTGTTATATCTTATGCAGACTGACCGAAGAAGTGCATGCAGACCTGGGATATATTTAACATACAACTATTTACACAATCAAATTCATTTCATTCATTTTTGGTTAAAAAATGAGTTTGATGTTTATTACATTTATCTGTGTAATCCAGGTTTTATGTTATAGGTAACTGAAGACATTTATGACATTTTGGAGTTACAGAGTTTCATTTTAAAAAATGTATTTGGGACGTCTGAAATTAGAAAAAATATAATCCATTGTACAGGATGTTGTAATTATCTTACATTTTGATTTGGATTGGTAATATGATATAAGAACATCAGGAACAAAATCAGTTTCAGTCATGTTATAATCCCTTGGATTTTTTTTTTCCCAAAACGATCTTTACTGGCAGCGGTTTATGAAAAAACTCATTCTGATTGATTTGTTTCTGAATTTTCTATTTATAAGGTCAGATTTGTAAACGAGGCAAAAAAAATTGTATAATTTGATCATGTATGTCTTTGTTACTTTTTTTAAATATTCTCACTGCATGGACTCAAATATGTCACTCAGTAAGAGCTCAGTATTTTCTTTTGATGGAATTACACTAAGTATTTAATGTATTAAGAGTATATGCATCGGTTGGTAAGTTTAATGTTAAGTTAGCTGTGTATCATTTGTCAATAATCTCGACAGTACATAAGTCAAGCTGAAATGGGAATAATTTCTACATATGTCTGTGAATGTTAAAGTTGTTATGTTAGTCTATCCCAGATCTTCATGACTGGGGATGTATGTTGTGTGGTCCACACAGTGTCTGCGAGGGAGGGGTGTGCACACCTAGTGCAGGGGAGGGGGGGAGTGCTATCAAGAGGTTTCTTTATATTACAGAGTTGATTTATTCCAGATTTCTACCTTACAGCGTTTCAGATGCTTTATTTCTTGGCATGGAGCTCCAGCTGTATACGACTAGACTACAATGCCATTCCTAGCATTTCACCTGCTAGACAAATGTTGTGTCTCCTCATATCGACTAAATAAATGGATTGCCTGTCCTATTTACACCTGTTGTTTGTTCTTTCTTCTTCCTCCCTGTGGGGATAACAGTGTTTGTGCTTTCTTCCTCCCTCCAGGGATATGGGGCTGTCCTTTCTTCCTCCCTCCAGGGATATGGGGCTTGTCTTTTCTTCCTCCCTCCAGGGATATGGGGCTGTCCTTCCTTCCTCCCTCCAGCGATATGGGGCTGTCCTTGCTTCCTCCCTCCAGGGATATGGGGGTTGTCCTTTCTTCCTCCCTCCAGGGATATGGGGGTTGTCCCTTCTTCCTCCCTCCAGGGATATGGGGCTGTCCTTTCTTTCTCCCTCTAGCGATATGGGGGTTCTTTCTTCCTCCCTCCAGGTATATGGGACTGTCCTTTCTTCCTCCCTCCAGGGGTATGGGGCTGTCCTTTCTTCCTCCCTCCAGGGATATGGGGGTTGTCCTTTCTTCCTCCCTCCAGGTATATGGGGCTGTCCTTTCTTCCTCCCTCCAGGGATATGCGGCTTTCCTTCCTTCCTCCCTCCAGCGATATGGGGCTGTCCTTGCTTCCTCCCTCCAGGGATTTTGGGCTGTCCTTTCTTCCTCCCTCCAGGGATATGGGGCTGTCCTTGCTTCCTCCCTCCAGGGATATGGGGCTGTCCTTTCTTCCTCCCTCCAGGGATATGGAATTATCCTTTCTTCCTCCCTCCAGGGATATGGGGCTTGTCCTTTCTTCCTCCCTCCAGGGATATCGGAGCAGAATAGGCCTTGAGTACCTCATGTAGGAGCCCACAAATGAGGCTTGCTGTGTGTCATCATGTCATTGAAGTGTATAATTGCTCAAGCTTTCAACCACTTGTTTGCCTGCTCGAGACTTACAGGATGTAGTGAAGAAGCTGAAATACTGCTGCTGACATAGTACCTGCGCTGACTCATGCATTTCTTCCAGATGAAGTTGTTTGTTTGTTGTTTAATGCCGCACTCAGCAATATTTCAGCTATATGACAGCATCTCTAAATAATGGAGTCTGGACCAGACATCAAGTGACTGAATCTGATATGAGCATCGATCTACGCAATTGGGATCGATGACATGCATCAACCAATTCAGCGAGCCTGACCACCGGATCCCGTTAGTCGCCTCTTACAACAAGCATGGGTTGCTAAAGACCTATTCCACCCCGGATCTTCGCGGGTATCCTGATGGACCGACATCAGTGGAATCATGTTGGAGTAGGTCCACAGCACCTAATGCTTATCGCTATTTCCTGTACATATTTGGATCCTCATTATACCCTCAATATGAGGGCATCATACCCAAAAAGGTTCACAACCTGCTTGGTGACTTTGTCTCCCTCCCCCAATGCTATGAAGACAGTCTATGATCTAACTGATTATTGTCAATGCAGTGTTCGAAATACCTGCCTGCCCGACCGTCCGAGACGGGTTGATTTCAACTCGGGCTGCCAGATTTTCAAATCCCCCTGCCCGACGGTCGGGTTATATTTCATATGTGACAATATTCTAAATATATCCCGATGATAATAATTAATTCACATGTAAAGATGAATGATAAAATGTAACCAAAAAGAAACCCCGTTAGCTTATCCTGAGAAACATATGATTATAGTGGGCAGGCAGGTTTTGGTCAGGGCTGGCAAGTATTTCAGCTAGCCAGTCCTGTGGTCTGGCTGAAATTTTTGGGAGTTTCATACCCTGATATTTTTGTGCAAGGCAATGTTAAACCCAACTCACAATATGTGTGTATCTAGACTGATAGTTTGCCACTGATCATGACACGATGGAATATTATCTTTTTACACATCCTGAACATAAATATATGGATAAAATACAATCAAGTCTCAAGACAATACTTCAGCCAGTCTAGGTGTATCAGTTTATTAGTTTCTCATACAGACTTTGAAATATATGTTTGAAAAATCCCAATCACGTCTTCCATATTTTGGGTAGTCTAGATTTCTTCAGTGAAAATGAAATGATTCTCTTGGCTTCCATATTTTTTTATTTAAATAATGAGAGTCCAAATGTTAATATGACATTGCCACATCAGGGTATTTGGATGCACGCATTTCACTTTTTTACAGTTGCAACTTGCAATGTTTTTGCTATGTTTTTTAGACGTATGTATGCTGGAAATAGTATTTCTTCAAGAAGCACAAAAGTTGTAAAACGTGTTCTATATTCATAACTGATCTTTAAGTCAAATATAAGTTTACAGCTAAAACATACTGCACAAAACGTCATATCAAACCAAAAACGTCATCTATGGCATTGAATATACCCTTTGCGGATTGATATATGTTGGAAAGGAATTATCGACAGGAGTCAGCCATCATTGATCGGGCATCAACAGAAATGTTTCCAATTGTCTACCAACACTTCAATTCTGAAAATCAGTCTATCCTTTGCATAAAGGTTCGTATACGAGAGAAAAAACACCAACTATTCAATAGCCTTAAATGCAGATGACATAAGATATGTCCAGAGAAAATCATTGTGTATGGCAATGCCACATGGATGTGATGACAAAATGAAAGACCTTGGCTATCTTTCTGACCAACGAACCGCCTCCGTGGTCTAGTGGTAGAGCGTCCGCCCGGACACACGCACACACACACTTACATGCACGTCGCTATATAAGTGCAATAATCTTGGACGCGACGTAAAACCCCACTTCACCACACCTCACTTCCGGACTAGTCCAAGCAGCCACACACACACACGTGCATGCACGTCGCTATATAAGTGCAATAATCTTGGACGCGACGTTAAATCCCATTTCACCTCACACCTTCTGACCAACGAACTGTCAACGTCAATGTATTGAGTGTATCCAACATCCCAAAGACTCGGCCGCAGCCATGGTCACATGGAGGGAGGAGGGCCAAATGCTCTGTTGCCCCTCCTTTAGGAACCACTGGGACTTTACAACGCAAGAACAAGACTATATTCTGGGGCGTTAAGAGAAAGCAAAGGACTCCAGCAACTTTTGTTCATGACTGAGGCCTTCAACAGCAAGAACCCACTGTATCGACTAGAGAGCATAGTTCTTGTCATTGTTTTGAAAGTTAGAAACCTAGAAACAGACTCCACCGCATGTTCCTGAATTTGAAGCTGAAGTAATATTAGCAGACAAAAATCATTTTCCCTAAATGTATCACAATATTGCATAATTCAAGAACTCATTTTCGTTCTCCTATACGAACAGGTTGTTCGATTGAAGGAATGTTTCCAGAACGTGGACAAAAGGTCCTATTTTAAAAAAGAACGTGGTTATTTCCGCCCACAATGCAATGACTTGTTTTTTATACATTTGTCAGTAGTGTGTTTGCTGACCCCAGAGTTGTTATCTGTCATCCAGCATGGTTGATGACTATGGTGGCCGTGAGGGAACATCGCCTTATCGACTTCAAAGACGGCCGCGAGGAAGCGATAACACCAGACGAGAAAGCGATAGCTCGAGGTGAGAAAGGATTGCCTGAGGTGAGAAAGCGATTGCACGAAACGAGAAATCCATTGTGTTGCTTATCATCTCGTGTTATCATTGTCCCGTGTTATCGCTTACTCGCTTCCGTAATTGAAGTCGATAAAAGGATGTCCCCTCTCGGCCACCATAGATAGCTGTTTTCATTTTGACTTCGAGACCCTTCGTATGCTTAGCTGGAAAGAGAATCTGTATATAATTTGTTGGGTGTTAAATAGGTTCCATTAGTAGAAGAATTATAAACTCGATACAGAACAAAACATTTTCGTGCCATCACCTTCTATTAGTGATTCCAAATGTATTTTAAGCATACTGTGTGACAGAATGACGAGGCAAGCAGAGAAGAGTTGTGGTGCAGTCTGGAGCACTCTGGAGCGCCGCCTTTTAATTACACCGGCATATCGTTTCTGTTTCACAGCTAACTTGGACATACCTGAACAGAATTTTGAAGTGTGTATGTGTGCGTGCCTGCCTGCCTGCCTGCGTGCGCGCATGCGTGCGTGTGTGTGTACGGGGCCTCTCTAATTCATTATTTTTAAGGAATGGAGAGTTACTCGTACCAGAGACCATATAATAGACCCTCTCCATTTCACGGCGACCATGGCGTTCATGGCGATCTGAACCTCCTGTGTACCACCTTGGAACGACCTAGGGAACCATTCTGCCTCCTTTGAGCCTCCAACGACGACCTGGCAAATTTTATGGCCGCACACGGGAGGCACAAAGGTCGCTAACGTTGAGTCAACTGAGGTTACCAGATTCCTGCAAACGGTTGACAAGATTCGACCTTGTCTAAAATATACTTAAAGGCAGCACCAGAGATAAAACGCATAAATGCAACCTTAGATATAATACTAAATGGCTGCGTGAAGGGGTAACACTACAGTCGTAGATATTGCTATAACACAAACAAAGTAACTAGCTGTTTTATTGTAACAAATGTTATATTTCGATCCCCGGACGGGACTCAACCCAAAAGTACGAGATTCTGTACATTTGTTATATTTGACCACTTTCTAAATGGCATTGTGTGTTCATAACTGTTTTATTGTTTGACAAAGTTGCAATTATACAAAAAAAGTTCCTGTGACATTGAATAAGATTTAATGCAAAGTTATGATTTTTACCAAATCTGAAACAATTTCGGTTTGTAACAGATAAAAGACTCCTGTAAGTGTTCAAATGGTTTAATTTGCCATACTGACTTCAGAAAATGCGTGATTTCATAAAAAAAAACACAAAAAAACATGAACATGCCAAAATGTCAATTCACAAATCAATAGCGTGTGTGTCCACCTCTGGTTGCGATGCAAGCAACACATCCTCGTCTCATGGAATGGACCAGGCGTCGCAAAAAGTCCTGTGGGATATCTGTCCATATCTGTTGGAGCATGGTTCGAAGTTCCAGGAGTGTCTTTGGAACACGTGGTTGACGTCGAAGGCGCTGATCCACATCATCCCACATGTGCTCGATTGGTGAGAGATCAGGGGAGTGAGTCGGCCAGGGGATGACATTCACGTTGTTTTGTTGAAGAGAACCCTGAACAAGTTGACCAATATGAGGCCGGGCGTTGTCATGTTGAAATGGGTTACAGGCCGGCAAAGCCACATTTCGAAAATAGATAGCCCAAATTGATGTGGCTCTCGCGACAATGGTTATGGTTGCGTGATTGTATAATGTGGCTCTCGCGACTATGCTGTCAAAACATGCTTTGTGATTCTAACAGGTTACCGTATATAACAAAACAAGTATTGTTTTCTCATTTTTTATTCAACAAGGATAACAGGATGAACTCCTCAATTAAGACCGCCTTTGATCTCTAAAGAACACCACGCTTAGTAATTTAAATGTGGGACACTCATTTAAAGGTATCGGTAATCGGATTAATTAATTACCCGCTAGAATAGGTGAAATGCACTCAGCTGAAAATGTGGCTCTACCGGCAATAGCCATTTCTGAAATGTGGCTCTCCCGGCTAGACACCTTGAAATGTAATGCCTTGGCCATGACGACGCAAAAACGGTAGAACAACAGGGCTGATGATCTTGTCGCGGTAGCGGTGGTTTCCTGTCAAAATGGGACGTCTGGCGGGTCTTCTGGCGACAATCCCTGCACATCCGAGGCGACGACGTACGGTTTGTGAAGATATTCGTCGAAGGCCAGGAATGCATCTTGTATAGTCACTGTTGCTGGCTGGAATCGATTTTGTAGGTGTGTTGTTCGAATTCAGTTGTCTTGTCTGCCTGCCACTCCGAGGATGGTCTGCATTCGTCTGTTGCCAACGTTGCCATAAACACCAAATGGTGTTTCTGTGGACGTTTAATTGTCTTGCAACATCACGTTGACTCGATCCTGTTTCAAGCATACCAATGGCTCGCAGACGCTCATTTTCGGACAGGCGTGGCATTTCGTAATGTTGAATAATTGCGTAATTTTGTTGTTTTTCTGAGTGTATGTTGTCAGCACGATGCTAAACAATGCATATGGAATCCCGTTAACGCACATGTTTTTATACCCGTTCTTGGGTAGTAAAATGCACGGGGCTTGCATAAAAGTCAACTTTTGCATGGAATGCATGCTTTTCTGTAGCAGATGTGTTTTTGTGACTTGATTCCATACATGTACTATAATTACTTGTTTGAAAAATACACTAAAATATTGGTGTCACAGAAACTTTTGTTGTTGAGTATATTTCTATTTAATGCACGTAAACCGACAAGAAGGTTCAAACTACCGCGTAGACCATCACACAAAGATGCAAAATCGTACTCAAAGTTGCATTATCAACTCGGAAGAATTTACATCAACGGGCGGTCGGGTAGCCTGGTGGTTAAAGCGTTCGCTCGTCACGCCGAAGACCCGGGCTCGATTCCCGACTTGGGTACAAAGTGTGAAGCCTATTTCTGGTGTCCCCCGCCGTGATATTGCTGGAATATTGCTAAAAGCGGCGTAAAACCATACTCACTCACTTCAGCCCTATAAACATCCAGATAACAACAACACACAAGTGCTCTTACATTTCCATACTTTGGTGTTTGAGTACATGGGAATGTGGGTTCTACACTGAAATGATTGAAGATTTATGGACGCAGACAGGTGAGAAAATTTAAACGCAACGTCAAATTGGCTGTTTTAAATCATCAGGGGCCAGTTATCATTATTTATCATATAATGGATAGGTTTCTCGGCAGGATAAAGCCAACGGATAAAAACGATATCCGTTGGGGTCATATGCGGATAGAGATGCAAATATCAAAGGTCAAGTAGGGACTAATTTCAGTGTTTATAAACAAACATGCCGTCGCACTTGTCATTCGGCGATCGAGTCAGAATTAACCACCGGGAATCTGGATAAACTACAGGGATAATTGCTACAATTATCAAAAGAACAGTCTAATATACTGAAAATCAGTGTCTAACTGCGACGTAGCTAAGGCATTTTATAGGTTTGGGCAACTTTGGAGATATAAATTTCGAAACAATTTTGCGAGGGCACTAGGCCTAGCCATGCGGAATCAGTAGCCATATCTGTGCTTGTAGACCTCTGTGGCTTGAAACCTTTTCCACAAATTAAAATAGTTGGATGTAGCCGAAATATGTTTGAATTGTTACCTTGTTTCGTATTTTTGCGCTGTGTGTACATCTGACTGCACTTCTTACGTTATGACAGGACAGGCCGACTGTCAACAACGTCTGAATGTGGTCGTGACGTCTCATAGACTAAGGTTAGAGTAGCTTCGCTTTGACAAAGGGCAGTTACTCTAGCGGACAGACCGATGGATTGTCGCGAAAGACAAGTAAAAACAATTGTTGTTTTGCGTATATGTTGCTTCGCTACTGTATAAGAAACAGATTTCAGTTGGAACTATATTGGCTACTGTCACTGTCCGACTGACACATCACCTACCCCGTGACGTAATAAGTATTAATGAGCGCATTCCAGGAAAACTCGCAATGTTTCGGTAATGTTTGTGAGAGAGGGGAAGCGATTTTCAAGCACAGAATTATAGAATGATATTATATGATAAAGAGGTTATCACGCTTGTGTGTTTGGGGATGGTAAATATCCTGTGTTAGGAATAAACACTATGTATTTAGCTCGCCAAGGCTCGCTAAATACAATATGTTTATTCCTAAAGCAGGATATTTACCACCCCCAAACACACTCGCGTGATAACCTCTATATCTTTCATGCGCGGATACAGGGTGCATCTTCCACGCACGGATACAGGCTGTATCTTCCATGTGCGGATACAGGGTGCATCTTCCACGCACGGATACAGGATGTATCTTCCATGCGCGGATACATGATGAATCTTCCATGCGAGGATACAGGGTGCATATTCCATGCGCGGATACAGGGTGCATCTTCCACGCGAGGATACAGGGTGCATATTCCATGCGCGGATACAGGGTGCATCTTCCACGCGAGGATACAGGGTGCATCTTTCATGCGCGGATACATCATGCATCTTCCACGCGCAGATACATGATGTATCTTTCATGCGCGGATACAAGGTGCATATTCCATGCGAGGATACAGGGTGCATATTCCATGCGCGGATACAGGATGCATCTTCCACGCACGGATACATGATGTATCTTCCATGCGCGGATACATGATGCATCTTCCACGCGCAGATACATGATGTATCTTTCATGCGCGGATACAGGGTGCATCTTTCATGCGAGGATACAGGGTGCATCTTCCACGCGCGGATACAGGGTGCATCTTCCATGCGCGGATATATACAGGGTGCATCTTCCACGCGAGGATACAGGGTGCATCTTCCATGCGCGGATACAGGGTGCATCTTCCATGCGCGGATACAGGGTGCATATTCCATGCGCGGATACAGGGTGCATCTTCCATGCGAGGATACAGGGTGCATATTCCATGCGCGGATACAGGGTGCATCTTCCACGCGAGGATACAGGGTGCATATTCCATGCGCGGATACAGGGTGCATCTTCCACGCGAGGAAACAGGGTGCATATTCCATGCGCGGATACAGGATGTATCTTCCATGCGCGGATACAGGATGTATCTTCCACGCGAGGATACAGGGTGCATCTTTCATGCGCGGATACATGATGAATCTTCCATGCGAGGATACAGGGTGCATATTCCATGCGCGGATACAGGGTGCATCTTCCACGCGAGGATACAGGGTGCATATTCCATGCGCGGATACAGGGTGCATCTTCCACGCGAGGATACAGGGTGCATCTTTCATGCGCGGATACAGGATGAATCTTTCATGCGCGGATACTTGATACATCTTCCATGCGCGGATACATGATGTATCTTCCACGCGCGGATATATGATGTATCTTTCATGCGCGGATATATGCTGTATCTTCCATGTGCGGATATATGATGTATCTTCCACGCGCGGATACAGGATGAATCTTCCACGCGCGGATACATGATGTATCTTTCATGCGCGGATACATGATGCATCTTCCATGCGCGGATACAGGCTGTATCTTCCATGTGCGGATACAGGGTGTATCTTCCACGCGCGGATACAGGATGTATCTTCCACGCACGGATACAAGATGTATCTTTCATGCGCGGATACATGATGAATCTTCCATGCGAGGATACAGGCTGCATCTCCCACGCGCGGATACAGGGTGCATCTTCCACGCGCGGATACAGGATGCATCTTCCACGCACGGATACATGATGCATCTTCCATGCGCGGATACATGATGCATCTTCCACGCGCGGATACAGGCTGTATCTTTCATGCGCGGATACAGGGTGCATCTTCCACGCGAGGATACAGGGTGCATCTTCCATGCGCAGATACATGATGTATCTTCCACCCACGCATACATGATGTATCTTTCATGCGCGGATACATGATGAATCTTCCATGCGAGGATACAGGCTGCATCTCCCACGCGCGGATACAGGGTGCATCTTCCACGCGCGGATACAGGATGCATCTTCCACGCACGGATACATGATGCATCTTCCATGCGCGGATACATGATGCATCTTCCACGCGCGGATACAGGCTGTATCTTTCATGCGCGGATACAGGGTGCATCTTCCACGCGAGGATACAGGGTGCATCTTTCATGCGCAGATACATGATGAATCTTCCATGCGAGGATACAGGCTGCATCTTCCACGCGCGGATACAGGGTGCATATTCCATGCGCGGATACATGATGCATCTTCCACGCGCGGATACAGGCTGTATCTTTCATTCGCGGATACAGGCTGTATCTTCCACGCACGGGTACATGATGTATCTTCCACGCGCGGATACATGATGCATCGTCCACGCGCGTATACAGGCTGTATCTTCCACGCGCGGATACAGGATGTATCTTCCACGCGCGGATACAAGCGGTATGTTCCACGCGCGGATACAGGATGCATCTTCCACGCGAGGAAAATGAGAGGTGCGTCTTTTAACCACAATAAATTACAAGCGCTAAATGTATCCCCCTGTTGCTGGTTTTCGGACGCGTGAGAAAAAATCGTAGTTTTCTCTCTAATCACATGAAGCTCATGAACAACTGTTAAACTTCTCATTCACTTTAAAAAGAAAACTTTCTCTTAAAAACAAGCCATCACCTGAATAATTACAATTTCTGTGCGATGCTACACTTCACGTTATAACGTATGATGTCCGAAAACATATGATCCGACATTATATACAAGTATTCGTGTGAGCAATCTGCGTTTGGTAGTCGTGTTTTTCATCACCAGATGAGTTATTTGCTTTTGTTCGCCCTGCTACCCGAGCACATATCTCGGATTCCGCGTTTGACTTCTCTTATGTTTTCAAGGTTTGATAATTGTTATAAAAAATGTTGAGATATTAATCCATTACCGTATTCGACGTAATAAGCGCCCACGGCGCTCTCAAAATTAGAAATAGGGGGCTCTTATTAGAATATAATTTTAGTGAGAAAAAAAAACAGAATTGAAAGATCGTAAATTTCGTGGTTTTATGCTGACAGCCCGAAATGATACAAAAGAAAAGTATTGCGTTTTATACACGACAGATATATTTTCCAGAATTTAATTGCTAATTAGGATTGTTCACTAGCCAATATACTAGCAAATATCGCCGTGGGCGCTTATTAGAGCGGGGCGCTTATTACGTCGAATACCTATCTCTAACACATCAATAATCTTCAAGTTTGATAAGATCCATTTCACTTGTGCTCCATTTATAATATGCACATAAAGTATAAATACTGTTCGATTTGATAAGGTATTATCCATTTTGACACGACAATTAAGGCGTTTTGACCAAACCGCCTGGTCAGTTTTGGAGCTAGCCGTTTTGGCTCGTAGCCTTGTACTTCGTGAGAACCTGTTGCCAGGTTGTGTTTTGTGACTAACTTTCTGTTTCCAGGCGTAGACTCGGATGTCACATTTTGCTGGTGTAACCTGACTTGTGAAGTACTCAAATATGTATCACAAGTAAAAGACAGTTTCGGACCTTGTTTACCAGTTTGGAATATACGCTAACGTGCCCCATCGCAACATAATATTGCAAATCATTATAGGAATTGTCTCCCTTTAGTAGTTCATCCACGCTGACAACATGGCGGCGACCAACAGAAGAGATGGGGTCCGAATTGGATTGATGTTGTTATTGTTAACTGTGAGTTATATCAGGGCGCAGGATGAACCTCAGGATGAAGAAGACGATTGGTTTGCAGAGTTTAGGAATTTGAGAGACAGCTGCAAATTCCCAATGTTATCGCTCGGGTTCCTTACAGAGCCATCAGGAAAATTCTATTACGAAGTATGCGAAACCACACAGCCGGGCGGTGATCTGTCGAGGTTGTGTAAAAAAATGTTCGATCTCACCTTATACATGTGTAACCAAACCCAGGTCTCAGAACAGAAAAAGAAGACAATCGATAGACAAATGACTTCAGAGCTTATGAAGTTTGACAAAGATGAAACACCGTTTTGTACGAGACTTGAAAGAGACAGAAACTCGTCCAGGTATCTAGGAACCTATCTGCCGAAAGATATGAATTGTGAGACGGCGTGTAAAAAGAATGTTGCAGAAAAATTGTGTGAATTCAACTTCTTTTCAGTAATTGTTTACGGTACGTATAATCACCACATTTGAGTATCACAAAGTATACAGCCTAATGGAGTTATTAATATTGCGAATTTCCCTGAATATTACCAAATAATTTTGACAGGTGACTACAGCATGTACAGCAGGGTTGGCGAGAATCGGAGCTGTTATAGAATATATTCGCCAAATTTTTCTCATTTAAGCATCCAAGGTGAGGTGAGGTGAAATTGTGTTTAACCTCGCGTCCAAGATTATTGCACTTATATAGCGACGTGCATGCACGTGTGTGTGTGTCCGGACTGATGCCGATTTATAGTGCTAGCTCACTGAGATACCATGCCGCAGTTTAACATGAATACCCCACTCAGACACAGTATACTGACTCCGAGCCGACCAGTCCTTGTTTTAGCCCCTTAATGCTGAGCGCCAGACAGGGTAACAACGAGTACCATCTTTTAACGTCTTTTGGTATGATGCGGCCGGGGATCAAACCCCGGACCTTCCCCTCTCCGGGCGGACGCTCTACCACTAGACCAGTGAGGCGGTTTAAGCATCCAAGGGCTAAGAGTAGAGTTTGTTTAACTCAAATAAGGGAATGCCTTCAAGTTGGGCCAAGAAAAGTCGGGCTGGGCCAGCTGGTAATACTGAAAATGGATTGCAGAATAATAAAACGAAACGTGCATATCTAGGCAGATTTCAAATGTCCACAAACATATAGTTTTGCTCATTTAATTGAGTCTGAATCAAAATGCATCTTCAACAATGTAATAAACTGATGATTATAACTACATACCGAGAGTCCCCGTAGAAAAGTAAGTGTCTTGACTGTGTGTTTTATTTGATGAGGTTTCTCACCGACCTAAGCATATAGGGGTGTGATGTCCTGGGCAGGATATGACAGTGTTTTGACTACTCTTCTTTCATTAATGAACGTGTTGGATTGAAGTGGCATGCAAGCCGTGAAGTAATCTGAATAACCTTTCTTGAGGCACAGCTCGTGTTCGTTATACTAAGGGGTGACGAACTGATTAAATAATCGCACAGGAGAATCAAACTCCCATTGCCTACTTTAAAAAATAGAAGCTTTCGTAATGAGTTTATAAGTCTGTACTTTACCAATAGTGGTCATTGTGGTGTAATGATACGGTGAAACAGTTTTGTAACCCAATACGAGGAACATGACATAATGGCCCATGAAGATCCGGGGTAGAATAGGCCTTCAGCAACCCATGCTTGCCGTAAAAGGCGACTATGCTTGTCGTAATAGGCAACTGACGGGATCGGGTGTTCAGGCTCGCTGACTTGGTTGATGCATGTCATCGATTCCAATTGCATGGATCGATGCTCATAATATTAATCCCTGGATTGTCTGGTCCAGACTCAATTATTTACAGACCGCCATCATATAGCTGGAATATTGCTGAGTGCGGCGTTAAACAACAAACCATGAGTGTAAGTTATCAATCAGCATGGTCATTGTATCAGGGTGGGTCTGTTTGTATCCAAGACACTTTGTGTTTGTGGAATGATGAGCTGTTCAGAGTTGCGTCCTTTGGGCATGCCAGAAATCAACGATCGTGGGTTCAAATCCTGGTTTTACCTGTTTTACATGTTTCTAGGTTTGTCAGCACCATACCCGTGCCTGTGGATTTCACTAAAGTGGTAAACGTCTGAGATCTGCATCACTTCGGGCTTTCCTCCCACATCAGCTGGCACACAATGTAATGTGATGTAATTGGAATTCTATTCAAAGCAACTTTAAGATCCAAATCACTCGCTGTATAATGATGATGATATATGATAATGATTAAAAATAGCTACGAACATCATGAGCATAGGTATGTTTCATTTTCAGGATATTTAAACAAAAAAGAAAGTGGATATGATTCTCTGTGAAGCTGATTTGCCACCTTTAAATTGTTAAAGGTGATTACTGTATTTGACGTAATAAGTGCCCAGTGCGCTCGCAAAATTAGAAATAGGGGGCTCTTATTAGAATATTATTTTGGTGAAAAAAAGAGAGTTGAAAGATAAATTTCGTGGTTTATGCTGACAGCCTGAAATGTTTATATACGACAGATATATATTTTCCAGAATTTAATTGCCCATAATTGAGGGTGCATATTACACACAAGTGCGTATTATACACGAATAAATAAGTCTTGTGTACATTGATCAATCGAAAGGGGTGTTAATTGGGATTGTTCACTAGCAAATATATTAGCAAATATCGCCATGGGCGCTTATTAGAGCGGGGCACATATTACGTCGAATACGGTGTGATAGTGTGACCATAGTTGTCACTATTACCAAGTAAAGAACTTGAACACTGAACAATACATTGGTACTCATGATTGTAGTTGCTGGATCTTGTGGGCATCTCTTCTGAATCTTTTTGTCAAAGAATGTATTGTTTTTTGATGATTATGATCCCAGCACTGGTGTTTGGTTACTCCTTTGGTTCAAACTATGTGCATGTACATTGACAACCAAGAAAATACCAGGTAAGCTGCACAACCATGTGGCCATTCTTCAGCCTGCTCCGGGTTAAAATTTACAGGATGATATGTTGGTGGCCGTTAACCTTCTGACTGCCACATGAAAATAGCCTGTGTACTATCGCTGTGCCGAGTTTATTTGAGAGTGACGTATACGCACTGGATACTTTGTGAGTCTCGTCAGGTTGAAAATCTCCAATAATGTAAAAACCAAAAACATTTTATTTCCATTCCTTTTTTAATAGATGTTTCAGAAGGACATGTATGTCCCTCTGGCACAGCAACTGCGTTTTGTGTAGGGACATATATGTCCAAATGGCATCCAGGGGGTTAATGTAGAAGTTTCTCACATATCTGCAGTGATATGTTGTCCGGGGAATTGTTTATTGTTTTATCTTATTATTTTTTTTCCAGAAAAAATCGCTGCTGGACCAAGTGGACGTGAATCTAACCGTGGTGGCAGCTCTACTGGACCAATCGGTGATGCTGGAGATAATGGTAGTGCTAATGTTGGGTCTACGACACCTCCATTGGCAAAAAAAAGTAATGACAAGACTGTTACAGTTGGAAACAAAGAGGGTGATACCAATATAGAAGTTAACAATACAGGATCACCCCTAAATGGTTCCCATGCATCGGTACTTGTCAATGGTTCTGCTGGTGAACCTAAAAGAACCGATGTTGATATAGCCCGACCAGTTGTAGTCGACAAGACTCATAAAACAACTGTTAAGGTTGAAGGTGGTGGTGGGAAAGGAAGTGACACTCCTGATCACAGGGGGATGACTAATGATGAAAAGGATGATGGCAACGGAAGGAGTGAGGATCTTGACAAGAAGACGACGAGTGAAGCTGGCAACAGAAAGACAACTACAGCGGGAACCTCAAACGCCAGGACTGAAAGTCAGACTACAGTGAGAACTGCTACTCCACCAGCCACTGAAGGCCGTGATGGGCTGAGCGGAAAAGATTCCCATAAGACACTAGGCACTGAAGGTGGTGATGGGCTGAGTGGAAAAGAGAACAATAAGACACTAGGCACTGAAGGTGGTGATGGGCTGAGTGGAAAAGAGAACAATAAGACACCAGCCATTGAAGGCGGTGATGGGCTGAGTGGAAAAGAGAACCATAAGACACCAGCCATTGAAGGCGGTGATGGGCTGAGTGGAAAAGAGAACAATAAGACACCAGCCATTGAAGGTGGTGATGGGCTGAGTGGAAAAGAGAACTATGAGACACCAGCCATTGAAGGCGGTGATGGGCTGAGCGTAAAAGATTCCCATAAGACACTAGGCACTGAAGGTGGTGATGGGCTGAGTGGAAAAGAGAACAATAAGACACTAGGCACTGAAGGTGGTGATGGGCTGAGTGGAAAAGAGAACAATAAGACACCAGCCATTGAAGGCGGTGATGGGCTGAGTGGAAAAGAGAACCATAAGACACCAGCCATTGAAGGCGGTGATGGGCTGAGTGGAAAAGAGAACCATGACACGGATAGCGATTTTAGTGAGCCTGGTGATGGGCGGGAGCAGCCTGTTGTCCATAGTGATACAGCTAAGTCACCGGAACAGATAAAGAAACTAGAAAAGGAGTACGAGGCTCCTTCATCTGGCAACTTCATGGCTTACTTCCTGACCGCTGTGGTGCTGTGTATTGCTGGATACGTGGTTTTCCACAATAAACAAAAGGTAATAGTGCTATTGTATTGGTTGGTGTGGTTGGCATGGTTAAACATGTTATTAAAGGCTGGTCACTTTCCTATATATATACTATGGGCTATGCAACAGAGATCCAACTTTACAGATTAATCAGTTTGTACACAACAAACCACTTGTCCAGGAATTTATCTAGACATGCTAAGATGCCGACATGCTGCCCAAAGTTTGTAACCAATGTTCGTACAAATTCCCAATTTGGAATTCATGATGTGTGCAGAATTGACTTGAAGGTGTTTTGTTTTTTGGGGGGTATCAGTGATAGAAATTTGGACTAGTCCTTTAGTCCTTGCACTAGTCCTTTAGTCCTTGCCAAACTGCCCAATAGTTAAGGAATCATAAGGATTAGTAGAAATTTGACATTAGTAAAGTTTTGCTTTATCGTGAATATATTATCATTATTAGGACTAGTGTTCTAAAAAGGTTATTTTTGTCACTGGGGTATTATCTTGAAGTAACAATGTACTGTGTAGATCTGCATTCACACAGTTTGCTGGTCAGTTTATTAATTGTAAAACCGTACGGACCTCCATAAATGCAAAAACATATTGAAGTCAATTATTTTATATAAATGTGTCAATGATAACTCCACAGACATCATTTAACACTTAAAACATTTGTAGACAACAATATAAATTCAGCCATATGTGTTAGCACAATAATGCACCACAGGCCCCGCCCATTCTATTATTATGCAATCGAGGCACAGTAGTCTGTTGGTGGGTGAGTGTAAGAGTGAGTTGGGTTTAACACCGCTTGTAACATTATTCTAGTTATATTGCGGCTTAATGTGGGAGGAAAGCCTGAAGTCTCAGGTCTCAGACGTTGACCACTTCGGTGAAACCCACGAGCAGTGGTATGGTGCTGACAAACCTAGAAACATAATCGGGGCGAACAGGTATTCGAACCCACAATCATAGGTTTCTGGCATGCCCAAGGGACGCAACTCAGCACATAGAATCGCGGGGCCTTAGATGACTGGGCCACCCATGCCCCCAGTCTGTTGGTGGGTAAAGTCTATTATTGTGTTTTGTTTATGGAACCATAAATCACAAATAAATGCTTGCTAAGGCAATCAAATGCCATCAAAACACTTGCAATTTGTTTATGTCACATCATCAGTGTATACACTTGTGACTAATGTTCTGGCTTTGTCCAGTGTTGTAGACAAGGTAGAGGTGACTTGAATTTTCATTGAAGAAGCTGATAACAGGATGCATAAAGAGGATCGAAGGGGTTTTAATGTTTAGTTTTACGTTATTGAACAAAATTAATTTTTAAAAATTCTCAATTTTAGAACAAATATGCGTTTTGGTTCCCAATATGTGATGGGAATTTAGTTTGGAATCCTAATGATATCTGTGTAGGTATCCTGATCTTGAAAGACCTGGGCCCACTTGCACAAAGCGATCTTAGCGCTAATATGATCGTAACTCCCATACTTTAACATAGGCTTACAATAGCCTTAGTGCTAAGATTGCTTTGTGCAAGTGGGTCCTGGATAGATTGTTTCTTTTTCATTGTGTATAGGGAGTTAAAATATGGTCACTCTCAATCACTAATCATGCTAATGAGAATAAACAGCTTGTGTAAAGACTGAAAAATATCCAAGAAGAATTTTAATTTTGAAAGAATGGATATGATGGATGAACGTGATTAAATTCTTTTGAACATGAAGAAAGCCTTAAAAGTTTTTGTCTTCAGCCTAATAATTCACATTACACCTTATGCAAGCTTGGTCTTCAAAGAGAAGGGAGTTTTCAGTCATACAGGTAATTTTCGCATTGAGTTCATGTATTGTTCACTGTTGGGTGTTGGACAACAACACTCTCCTACCCAGAGTTCCATGTGGCTCGCAGCCAGCCAGCATAGTATCTCTGCCACAGGCCAGCGCCATGTGACGATTCGTCACATCTTTCACAGTCCATTCAAGATATTGCATATGCTTTTCATCCGTTTCATGTTTGACAAGTCAACACATTTTCATAAACAAACGTCAAAGAATGGTTACGGTTCATTAAGAAAGTATCCTAATTCATGAAAATCTATTTGTTTTTGCGTAGTTATTCTTTGTTTACATTGGTTGTAAGGCTCCTCATGCTGTCGTCGAAGCCCAACCGAGAGCTGGCGATACTGTCTTTTTGATGCATAAATATATATTGTCATGCAACTCACTGTCGCAGTTGTAGTATAATTATGCAAAACAATATATTAAGCGCCCCCAAATACTTGCATTAGTCTGTTCTACATTGATTTCTGAAAAAGCACGTTTGTTTACAAACAAGAGAAAAGTCCGGTCACGTGATATGCAAAATAGCCTGTGGCAGTGGTGTTATGCTGAGTCACCACTGCGCCGGAGTTCGGGACAACAAATCCCCAGATGTGCCATTTAGAATGTTTTAGTATACCACAGAATGGAAGATAGGAAATGTTGGCATTCCAAGAACAGGTATCTGCTAAAAATAGATTTTTTGATTTCAGTGAAAATAAGATTAGATAATTTGTTGCTGTCTCATTTGAAATGGTAATGTTTGTTTGACAGATAATTGCTTTCGTCATCGAGGGTCGCAGTGGGCAAGGGAGGCGGCGGACCAATGGCAGCGGAGAGTACAAGAAACTACAGAGCAATGTGGAAGAGGTGATGCCGTCACTCGACAAGTCCACGTCGGCTAAGAACTTCATATACTGAACTCTCATTTCATTATTTGCATTATTGGAGTCCAAGAAACAAGAGAGGATTAGACAGATTCTTTTGGGATTGTTTGATTGCAAAATTGTAGGACATGTTTCAAGGATTTTGTTTCTGAAACATGTAAAATCCTGGGCCTGGTTAGACAAAGTGATCTTGGCGCTATGACTACTGTAAGCCTATGTTAAAGGATGGGAGTTATGATCATCTTAGCGCTAAGATCGCTTTGTGGAACAGGGCCCTGTCCAAGCTCACCTTTTCTTTGTGATTGCATTACGTTATTTTTTTTTTAATTTGAAGTTCTTGTTTCATAACAAGGAACACAACATAAGAGTTGTGTTAAATTTAAACAAGTTGTAGTTAGCACTGACATCCTTTTCCTGTGTTTCTGTTAAAAGTTTAAAATGTGAAATGAAGGTGTTGATCATGTTCCCTGACAATAGATGTGGATGGGGAGTTACGGATGTATTAACTGTACTCAATGTTAGTCACATTTTGTTTTCAATCTCCTTGATCATTAGTTGGCCGCATCACACTGCAAACGGTGACTATGCGTGCCAGATAAAGGCTACCATGCTTGTCGTAAGAGGCGACTAATGGGATCGGGTGGTCAGGCTTGCTGACTTGGTTGATGCATGTCATCGTATCCCAATTGCCTTGATCGATGCTCATAATGTCAATCACTGGATTGTCTGGTCCAGACTCGATTATTTACAGACTGCCTCCATAAAGCTGGAATATTTCTGAATGCAGCGTTAAACAACAAACAAACAAACAAACAAAGCATATGACAGGAGTAGGGACTTGTCACAAAGTTGTTACAAAAGCCGGTAAATGATTGTGATGTAACAATTCTTATTGAAACTGAGTTCTATAGCCTTGTCCAAACTGCTCAATCAATGATATACAATAATGACCAGTGGGAGAAATACAAAGTTTTTGAAGGTATTCTTATACAATCTGTGACAAAAACATGATTCTACTGGCAACTTATCTCTTACACATTTTAAGATTTTAGTGTTAGCTTATAGACTTTTCATCTTCTAAACATACTAGGCCAAAAGATATGTTTTATTTTTTAAGTGAGTGAGTATGGTTTTATGCCAAATTAAGCAGTATTCAAGCAATATCATGGCGGGACATTTATTTTTGTTTATAAAACTAGTTCTTCACATTGCATATTGCTTGTGTACTGATCATTATCAGGACTAGTGACTTAAATATGTGAAGGCTCTATTGCTAATATTGCTAATCCTAATTGAATGTCTTTCTGTGATCGGCCTTCAGCTAGTATTGCACACTATCATCAATGCATATTCAGCACATTTGAAGTGGGTCCCATTCATAACAGTGTCATAGACCTGTTGTGGGAGCTCCATCATACTGTAGTCTCACTGTAGCCACCAAGACTGTGAGTTAACCATATCTTGCCGTGATGTTTGTGGGATGTCGATAAGAGCGGCGTAAGGACTGAAAATCATGGCAAAAGCGTTTCCTTGTATATGATAATGATGCTGTTTTTAGCAAATAGTTGATAATGAGACAATCATACCCACTTGGCACATATTGGAAGTAAATGGGACCGATCTGTCCATTAGGATCATTGTTATCCTATTGTTTATCAAAAAGTCCCTGTTATACCAAGGTCAATCATCTTGGTCAAAGGGAGATAACTCTCCGTGACTTTATTGTCTATAAAAAATGATGGCTTACGCACCACAGATAAGAGTGAAGTTGGTGTATCGTCCCAGCCCTAACATTTTTGTCAACGAAAACTATTCTGTAATTAGTTAGGCTATGCATAGAGTTATGTATAGGCTTATACTCCTGTCATGCTTTGCAATGTCTCTTGTCACCATCATCTTTTGGGTAAAGACCTCCTGTTTCTTGTGTATTTTCAGTCAGTGTGACTTGAGGATGACACATGATGACACCCACTCCTAACAACTGCATCCCAGGGGAGGTGTCGTGGCAGGTTAATTGGTATTGGTTTCCATGGTTACTGGCATCATGTTTATTGGTTATTGACATGTGCACATACTGGCCTTAGCCATTGGTTAGAGACGGCTCCCACCTATATATAGTAACCATTAGCTACTTAAGAACTCCAGACCTCAGTGTGGTTTAAAATTTGGATGTTTTAACGTGTTGAATATTCCGGAAAAATAAGTCTTTGTTTAGATATTTTTATCTGATTACATATCTGCAGTTTGGGAAAATATAAGTAGTTACTTCTCATGTAAATTGTGTGGATGGTGGTCGGTCCTCTTTTCTTAAGAGTATTAATTCTGTTGTACCAGAGGTCCAGATAAGCTTTAGGTGTTGTGGGTATTTTACCCCTGCATTTTAAAATCATTGGGTATCAGTAATTCTCTCTGGGTATTCAAATTTCTGTTACCCACTAGTTTTTTCACGTGTGGGTATTTAAGTTAAATATTTAAAAACACTATTCATCTAGTCCCTGCAAACTGGTGTCGTGTGGGTTCGAGAGCTTTATTTGATACGCTTGGATTTTATTTTACTGCGTATTTCTGCATTTCTGATGCGTATTTCACACAGATACGCAGCTTATCTGGAGCTCTTGTTGTACCCTGTTTACTGTACATGGGGTTCTGAGAGACAAGGATGATTATTTGTTTAGCCTAAATGTAAGACTGACATCTCTCACCATGATATTCTTCACAACCAAAGGACATTTTATTTCCAGATTGTATATTTTGATACTGGTTTGATGATAAATGTTTGAGATATGTCATGTTCTATTCAGAACATGTTTACATTCTTTCATAAGTTTCCTAGACAGGTGAGTTTTGGTAGTTCATGTAGATTCTCCCAAGTGCCTGTGATATTTTCTGGAAATATTATGAAATCTGATTTCATAACTGCATGCAGTATTAAATCAATTACCACACGAATATCTGCCTTTCTAAATTGTTCTAAATAACCATGTTTACTGACATTTTGTATTGGTTTTCTAATCATCAAACACTGTTGTGGCGAACTTATGTTTGACTTCAAGTAAAACCGTGATTATTCCTTCTTTAGTCATCCTTTTCGGTTGTGCTGAACCTCGGATAACTCGAAGTATTTACATAGGTCCTTCAACTTCGACCCAACAGTGTTTGACTGTATTGATAAATGAAATTGGTTCGATGTTAAGGATTTCTTTTCAATGTCGGAAACATTGACATGAGTCTATGGCCTGTCGTTGGCAGAAACATTGACAGCTTCATAATGATCATAGGCACTTAGAGTAGAGGGACAAATATTTCTTTCATCTCATGTCCATGACCAGGGTTCATTGTCAGAATGTTTTTTCCTCACCATGTATATATAACAGAAATCGTATGCTTATTATGCACTCACAATCTTATGAAAACATTTATTTTCTTGATGAACGTAATAAATGAATCCTTAATGTGTTGAAGTTACCAGGACATTCCATTCCCAACCATTTGACTTTACAAGATCCTTGAAACTGTTAATAATAATTTTTGTATGTATGTGAACTTGTGTCCTTTGCTTTCATTACGTTTGTACAAGATCTGACCATGCTCATGCAATGATGACCAGAGCACCACTTCCCCCATGCCACCAACGTCTATTATGATCATATCTACTATACTGGAAATAGGAGACCAGTGCGACAAATACGGTCACATCTCCTGTACATGGACAGGGTCAAACGTTTGATGTTTGATATGTCACATAATTCATTAAGATTTGAGACATACCACCACACCTACTCCTAAAACTTACTACCGCCTCCGTGGTCTTGTGGTAGAGCGTCCGCCCGGAGAGCGGAAGGTCCAGGGTTCGATCCCGGGCCGCGTCATACAAAAAGACGTTAAAAGATTGTACTTGTTGTTACCCTGTCTGGAGCTCGGCATTAAGGGGCTAAACCAAGGACTGGTCGGCTCGGAGTCAGTATACTGTGTCTGAGTGGGTATTCATGTTAAACTGCGGCATGGTATCTCAGTGAGCTAGCACTATAAATCGGCATCAGTCCAGACTAGTACAAGCAGCCTCACACACACATACACGTGCATGCACGTCGCTATATAAGTGCAATAATCTTGGACGCGACGTTAAACCCAATTTCACCTCACCTAAAACTTACTCCTAAAACTGTTGACATTCTAGTATTTCATCTCATTTTATGTTGATGGATGGGGAGGTATTTTCAAAGTATTATTATAACAAGTAGGGCAGGTATCTATCGACTAACAGTATGTACCCTGAAAATTTAATTTTGTTCGATGGAAACCTTGCAGACCAGGTAACCTTGAGGAACTAAGATACTCATCTGATATGTCATTTTGAACTGCTCTCTTAAGGAAACATGGTAGCTGATATGCCATTGTAGCCAGTTGGCAAAAGGGCTGTTACAGTCTCCAAACTATAACATGAGACATGTGTTCAGTAATTTCACTCTGATAGTAAGGCATAAAAGCTACTTATCTATCATTTAACTGATGAGTCTCTGCTTGTAAAGCAACATAAATAGTGTCGTATGACAGTCCGTGAAGCATGTTAAAATGTCAGTTTGAACTTGTCATTTGTAGTGCTCGCACCTAAGACTATCTGGACTGAGATCCAGCCAGCAAAGGTAAGGAAGCTATCCGACCCTGGTTAATGGTGTGGTGGCCAGGTACTTGCCCCCTGTATTCTATAGGCCCTCCTCCACTGATGGAGACAACTGGTGTATATGTCAGATGTCATAAGTACGACCCTGGTTAATGGTGTGGTGGCCAGGTACTTGCCCTCGGTATTCTATAGGCCCTCCTCCACTGATGGAGACAACTGGTGTATATGTCACATTGTCATCAGTACATATCGTTTTGACATATTGTGGGTCTGACAGTCTTACAAGTACTTTCCAGGGAGTGTTATTTATTACTGATGCCACTTTGTTGAGTACATCAACAATAGGCCAATATTCCTGTAATTTGATTCTTTCAAATGTGCAAAAAATCATATGATCACCAGAGGTAGAAGCTCAGTCTTAACAATGATCTCCATTACCGGTATTTCGCTCTTGATTATTTTCTGTAGAGGTGTTTCAAAATTGAATGGAGTTTTTACTTTCTTTTTCCAAAATAATATTTTGATAATTTGCAAAGTTAGATAGTTTATTTACTGAATTATAACCTTGTAGATGGTCAAACAATATGTGGCTTCTTCATTACACAGAGGGTGTTTGTGAATCCCATTCATATTCCAGAAGGTATCTCATAGTATGCTAACATTTGAAGTGAATGACATACTGGGGTCTGTCATGAACTCCTTGTTGGTAATTTTATCACTAACCATATCAGTAAATGTAGAATATTTCAAATTGTACTAATTTGTGCAGATATTCATTCCATTAAGGCGTGACATGTCTAGGCAGATATTGTGATGATGCATGATGCATGATGTTGCACTTTGTCCTGCTACTTCCATGATGCATACCCTTTTGTCTTGTAGATAGCCATGATGCAAACCCCCTGTCTTGCCAATAAGCATGGTGCAGTGATACATATGCTTTGCCTTATGCATGTCATGTGGTAAATGTTTCAGGCACACTGGGAATGCACTCAGCAAGTATGCTAGTGTATTGTATCAGCATCATGCATGAAGTGTTTCAGGGAGCACAATTGGGATGGA